GCTGGGGGGGCTGCGGGGGCCGTTCTCCACGGCGGGGCGCGGCGCCTCGGGCGCTTTCCGGGCCTTGGCTGACGCTGGGACCCCGGCCTTCTTGACATCTGGGGTGGCGGCGGCCCTCGGGCGCACCTCCCGGGGCTGGGTGCGCAGGCCGCCGCCAGGTCTGGGGTCTTTCTTGGCCTCGCGTGGGGGCGGCCTGGCGTCTTTCTCGGTGCGCAGGGGCTCTCTGCGGGCTGTGCCGGGCCGATCCCTGGCCCGCACGCTGTCCCGGGAGCCCAGGCTCTCCCTGCTCTCGGCGCGCCGCGGCCCCGCCAGGTCTTGGGGCGTCACGACGGGCTCCCGCAGGAAGCCCAGGTGCTCCAGGCGGGCCAGGCCTTCGAGCAGGCGTGCGGGCGGCGTGCAGCCAGGGAAGAGCACCCGCACCACCTTCTCGGCGGGGCTGGCCGGCTGCCACACCAGCAAGACGCAGGCCGAAGCGAGGGTTCGGTCGGCACTGCGGCCGGCGGCCTCGGAGGGCGGGTGCAGCACGTACATGTCCAGCCTGCCCACGCCCATCTTCTGGAAGAGCACAGTGGGCTCGGTGGGCAGTGGCCCTCGGCTCAGGGGAAGCGGGGCGATGCCCAGGCGGGCCAGCAGACCCAGCGCCAGCCCCACCTCGTCCACGCTGCGCACCAGCTGCGCCTCCCCTGCCGCCGCCGCCGAGCACCCGGCCCCACCCGTGTTCAGGAACACAACGCCCAGCTCGGGGGAGATGAGGTTCCGCAGGGCCTCGTCGCCCCCGCCACTGCCCGCTGCCGCCTCCCGCTCGGCCAGCTTGCGCCGTAGCAGGCTGTTGAGGCCCGGCAGGCTATCGACACCGACGTGGGTCACCAGCACCGCGTCCACGCGGTCCAGGTGCCGCACCAGCTTCCAGAAGCTCGACTTGGGGCTGGAGCCGCCGTTGACCAGGATGGTGAAGCCATTGACGGCGAAGAAGGCGGCGTCGCCCAGGCCACCGGGGAAGACGTAGCAGCAGGGCCGGGCGATCTTGAGGAAGCCCACTGCGGCCGGCGGCTCCAGCAGCTCAAAGGGCGAGGGCGGCTCCAGCGACTCGGCCACGTACTCCAGGAACTCGCGCAGGCCCTCGGAGGCCGGCAGCCGCGTCGGGGGGTTTAAGCGCGGCTGGAGCACGCCTGGCAGGCTTGGCATGTTGGGGGCCAGCTGGGCCCAGTTGCCAAAAGTTGGGCAGGTGATGGTGAGTGTGGGCGGGGCGGGTGGCACAGGGGCCAAGGCCAGGAGCTCCCCGATCTGAGGGAACACCTGGAGTCAGGGGACCTCCACGGAGGCCCTCACCTGCTTTCTTGGACTCCAACTCCAGCCCCCTGGTCCAGCCTCACTTTCTGCCTTCTCCCCACTGCTCCACAGAGGCCTCCTCCTTCAAGGAGGCCCCTCTTTCCACCATTAAGTAGGGCGCACACACACACCTTTATAGCATCCTCACCAGCAATGGGAGACCAGTTGCTTTTTGCCCATTTCTCCCCAACTAGACCAGGGGGCTTTTGCCCTGTTCCATCATTGGGAGACTCAATCGGGCGCCCTACGGGCATCCCTGCCAAGTCAGTTTCCCACTCCCCAAAGGCATACATTAGTGGGGGAGGGGACTGAACCTGACAAGCAGACAGGAACCCCAGCCCTGTCTCACCTGACCAGGCTGAGCCAGGATTTGGAGCTGGGGGCGGGATGGCCAGGGAAAGGGGCAGCCGCGTCTCACCTCTTTGTCCCCAAGGACCTGGAGCAAGTGGCTGGCCGAGAAACCCCCCGTCTGAAGCAGCAGCTCCCCTGTCTCCTCCAGGCAGGGCCCAGCCAGCACCACCAGTTTGTGAGGGGCAGGATCTAGCAGAAAATTCCGGAGCTGGAAAACAGGGAAGGCCTTCAGGGACCTACTCCCTGCCACAGGGAAGCCCCCACCCCCAGATCTACATATGATCTCCTTCCCTGGCCCCACCACACAGCCTGGTCAGTGCTGGACCAGGAGCTGGATAGCCACCCTCCCCGTTGGGCCTCATTTCGTGCACCTCTTCCCCAGCATACTCCTAATGCCTCTTCTGAGCTTCTTCACCCCACCTCTCCAGCCCTCCTGACACCCCCGGGCTGGGGTATCTGAGTCCGACTTGTCTCCCCTACACCAGGGGCCCTTCAAGGTACACGAGGAGCAGACTAACCAGAGGCGGCTACCTCTAAAGCTGTCTCTAGTGGGGAGCTCAGGCTCCAGCACGTTCCTCTCTCTGATGGCTAATGGGAGAAGAGCCCTTAATGTGCTACTCTGGGGCATTAACAGGCATTGCCCGGGGCCATGGAGGAAACCATGTCAACCAGGCCTGAGCTGGGCATGCTCTCCAGGTCCTCTGTCCCCACCCCACCCAGGTGTCACACTGAAGGGAGAAGGGGAGGCTTCAGAGACAGAGTGCAGTCAGGGCCCCAGCAGCGCCCCCGCGTCCCATACCTCATCACACAGCGACTTGTCGGATGGGTTCAGGAGGACCAGGGTGTCCAAGGCAGCCCCACGGTGGTGCAAGCTTCGCTGGCCTGCGAACACCGGGCCATGAACACGTGGTTGGATCTCGGTGCCCCTGCTGCCCAGCCCAGCCTCACAGAAGCCCAGGTGACCACAATTGCCCAAGGGTGTTTATAGCCACCAGGGCTGCTTTCTTTGAAGACCCCCAACAGTTGGGGGGCGGGGTAGGGGTGTCGTGCGTGTTATCATCATCCCGTATTACAGACATGGACAGCGAGCTCAGGGAGAGCCAAGGAAGGGCCAATGGGGTCACAGCATCGGAGGCAGAGGCAGGGGAACTGAGGGCATAGAGGCTGGGGGGACCGTGCGGGACAGTAGCAGTGCCAATTCTGAGACTAACCCTGGCCTGTCCTCCAAGAGCCCGGGTCCAATCATCACACACAAGGCCTGAGGCTTTGGAGGCCATGGACCACCAAAGCTGGTCCCTGATCACTGACCCCTAACCAAGCACAGACCTCACCCGCTCACACGCCGGGAAACCACGGCCCAGAGAGTCACACAAGGCCGGCCGAGCTTACACAGAGCGAACAGAATTTCCAGGCTCCTTGCCCTCCAAGAGGGATCAGGAAGCCACTAAGCCCCTCTGGGACAATGAGGCAGCAGGCACTTCCTTCCCTGCTCGTGGAAGCCCGGTGACTCAACTATTGGCCTCCGGGCGGTGGGGGTTGGGGTGATGCATGGTATGCTCTGCTCACCCCCAGGTCACCCCCGGGCCCTCAGGGGCCGCAATCCCCTCTCCTACTGCTTCTCCTGAGCCCCTACTATGTACAAGGCCCACATGGGATTCTACTCCCCCACGTAGCTCCCCTCCTTGGAGGGCTCTGGCCCTGTCCTCACACTATGGCTTGCTCCTCTGTCAAATGGAGGTGGCATGGCAGCATCAGCCCCTGCCTGTGGGTTGGGGGAGCTTGCTCTGGGGTCACAGGGGAGACCCTCCCTTACCTTTCACGATGCTGGAGAAGGTGGCCGAGTGCCTGGACACGAAGACCTTGAGCTGTTCATCGAGGCTGCAGACGCCGGGGTCCACATCCCAGGACCGGACGCCTGGCGGGCAGCAGGAAGGGGTGTGGGTGTCAGTGGCCCCCACTCCCAGGGGGCCAGTTCAGTTCCCAGCACCCAGGTTGTGGTGAGCCATGTGTCAGAACAGAACTGCAGGGTTTCCAAGGTTGTGGTTATTGAAGGAGATGGCCCGGCTCTTCTTCCACGGTGCCTCAACACCAAAAAGTAAACCTCACTGCCATCGAGTGGATGCCGCGACCCACGGTGATCCCTTGATGCTTGAAGGCACCTCCGGGTGGGTCCAAACCACCAACCTCTCAGTTTGTAAGCGCTTAACTATTTGCAGGAGGCAGCCAGGAGGTGTGAAGGTTAAACTCTTCCCTGTGAGTCGAACGATGGGGGATTCAAACCCACCCAGGGGCAGCTCAGAAAAGAGCCTTGGTGAGCTGCTTCTGAAAGGTCAGCCTTGAACCCCATGGAATGGTTTTGTACTACACACACACCATGAATGAGAGCAAGCAACAACAAACACTGGGGCTGGGGGGATGATCCCTAGCTCCTACCCTTGAACTGTCCTGTGCCCTGCTGGAAGCCTGCTGGTCAGCGCCGAGCCCAGGTCTCGGGACCTGAGTCCACTTCAGCAATTTGCGGACTGGGGACCCCAGAGGATGTCATCATCTCCCCTCCCCCTCCCTCCACCAGCCGGCTCCTGCTCCTCTTCGGAGCTGGGCCCTCCCCAGCTCTGGGCCTGAGCACCAGCTGTCCCCACTGCCCTCCCCCTGCCCTGCAGGCTCATCTTTCAAATACTCCCTCGCAGGAAGCCCCTGCCCTGCTATCCTTGAAGGATCTTTTGTCCTTCCCCATATGCCTTGCAGCAAGCTTTCTGGATGTTTTCTGCCTCAATCCTGACCTGTGAACCAGGGTCAAGACACCTGGTCCATGGCATCTCCTGCCACCCCATTTTACAGGCGATGAGACATAGGTTTGGGGCTTGTCCAAAGGGCAGTGGAGGAAGGGCCCCAGGGCCTAGTGTGATAAGCCTTGCTCCTTCCCACGGTGCCAGGCAGAAGCAGGTGAACCTTACAGGTGCACCCGTGACTCACCTTCCCCGGGCAGGTTGCCTGCCCACACCCCAATTAGCATGCAGGGAGCGGTGGAAATTGTGCCCTGGGGGCCCAGCTTGGGATCCCATCCCTGCCTCCCCAAGGTGCCTTCCAGCCACCTACCACGAGAATGTCCCTCCTGCACCCTCTCCAGGTCAGGAGACACTGCCTAAGCTCCTCCAATCCCTGGCCCCCACTGGGGCATATAGCATGCAGCCTTGCCCTGTCCCCACCCCCTTTGGGGGCAGGACCTCGGCCCCCCACCCCTGTCATCCACAGAAGGGCGTAGCAGCTCCTATCTCCAGGGAGCTTGTTTGCACGCACACAGGGACCCCATAAGTGGGGTCACTTGAGGTCACAGATTCCGCTTCTAACGGATCCCAGGAGGGACGATTCCCTGGTTGTTGGCTGCTATGCCAGGGCCTTAGGGGATCCCGGAACCCGGACTCCACCGCCCACAATGGGGAACACGTACTGAGATCCGAGGGTTGGGGCAGCCCCACCTCTCTATCCGCTCCCCTCGCTTGGGGCCCCCGCGGGCGGGAAACGAGCCGTTGCTCACATTGCCCAATCTTGCAGGTGGGGCCGCCCG